ATCATTTAATAGTTTATGATGTGAAACATAAAAAAACTGAAAAAAGAGAAATGAAGAGAGTAAGATGAGAAGAGAGAGAGAGTTGACGAACGCTAAACATCAACCAAATGATGGAGAGCACAAACATTGACAGATGATGAGAGATAACAGTGAAAAAAAAAGTTCGTGACGAACTTTACCAGCAACATAAACTGATATGTGCTTATCTCACTAACTATTCCATATTAGTTGATCATCATTTGTTGAATCCTTGAGAGAGAGAGAGGACTGTCTCTTCTTATTCGCTCAACCTATTCTTGAAAAAACAGTTTTCACTGTTACGCCACTGCCTCCCTTGCCCCTACCAGCACCTACTCTCATCATACATACACTGAGAGAGAAACACCATCAGCACTTCAAAGAAGTTGTAATTACTAAGTTCTAGACGATATCTGTAGCTGTGTACAGCATATAGTTATTGTGATTGTTTGAACGAATTCTGATGTCGTGTCTGATTCTTCATCCATCTGCAACTATTCCAATTGGTGTAGTTGCTTCATCTTCTCCTCCCATATCGTCATCATCTTCATCAATATCTTCTTATAGTACTCCCAGCTCACCAGGTACGCATTTCCTACAACTTCTTTCAATCTCCCCTATGTTTATTCTTTTCTTGTCAAATCTTTCGTGTTTTTTTTTTGTTTCTCAATGTATGTTTTGAGCTTCTTGTCCATCTTTTCACAATCTATATTGTCCTCCTCGATATCTGTGTTGGATAGATAAAGCATCTCCCTCTATCCCTCTCTATCTCTCTCGATCTCTTCATCTCTATTAATATGTTAACTATATACATATAATATGCGTTAGCTTCATCTCTTAGCTGCCATCTACACCTCTATACACACACCATTATTCATTTGGTTATCCATTTATCAGATTCACACTCATATACATGATTTCATCTCACACTCTCTCTCTCTAACGTCCACTGTCTCTCCATCTCTCTATCTCTGTTCTTTGTTGGGAAAAAAATTTAAAAAAGAAATTATTTATTTTTATTATTCGAACTTTACTCAGCTCTTCCCCCCCCCTCTCTCTCTCTATACATTCACAATCTCAAAACAACAGTTCATTTAGGCTCTTATTGTTCCATTCTTTCCATTCGGTTTTTCGGGGGCCCAAGTGGAGATGGAGAAGGGGGGGGGGGGGGGGGGGGGTGGTGGTTTCTCGGACCCTT